TCCTTTTCGTATCTATTAGTTGAGCTATATACACGCACGGGATAAACAACTGGAAAAACAAGTCAAGCTTATTCGAGAAGATAGAATCAAAACCCAATATAGTGGACAGACTCAAAGTCAATTTTTTAAAAGACTTGTTTGAATCGTTCGTTCGCGATACAACTGTTAAGTTTGATATTCCTAAAGATATCAAGGAATATCTTCATGATTTACTTGACGGGGATATTGAAAGTGCGTTATCTAAAATAGAAAAATCACTTGATAAGGACGCACGGTCATTCTTTTATGGACAAGGGAAATTGTCGACATTTTATTTTTTACTATTATTACGGTGGCTTGCAAATTAATGGTGACGAAAAAACTTGGTCTGGCAAACGGTCTATCACATTCTTGATTTATTTTCGATGTTTTTTGGAGAATTAACATCAGGAATCGCCTTGTAAGTCTTGTAATCATTAGTACTTTTTCATGTTTTTTTACAAATTAATTTTATTCTAATTTAGTGGAGAGATTGTAAACGAGGCCCACAAAGATAGAATTTATAATATAAATATTGATCAAAAACCGGCTAATTCAAATAGAGGAGACAAGAACGATGCTGTCCTGCTAAGACGAAAACGTCACAATTGTACATGAATAATCCTTTGGACCAACGGAATTTGATTCAACACATTATTTGGAGGATCTTACCAAATTGGCACGTAATGGAGTGGATGGATGATCTGAACTATTATTACAATCAATATCCAAATTCTTCCATAACAACAGCGAAAAAATTCAGATCTTTCGGAATTTTGTCTTTCACGTTTGACTAACTTTACTTTTAGAATATTTAATATCAATCTACCTCACTGACCTTATCCGTAAGAAAACTTATAGAGTATGAGATATTTAAAATGAAAAATCCCAACGACATATGCGGACCGGTGGTTGCTAGTTAAATTATAAATATTGGTGTCTATTTTGAGGTATTTCTTTTGCTAGACATACAAATGCATCTCATTTACTATTACTTATTGTATGTTTTATTTACTATTACAGGCTTTGCTCAAGAAACGAAAATTGTGAAGGGAGAAATGGATAAGGAAGACACAATCAACGAAAATGGTTCTTGTTGTATGCACGATTGGATGTCAATTCCGGATAAAACTCCAGAAAAAAGAACAAAAAAATATTAAATGTCGCTTCACATGTACTATTTTTATTTGTATCAATAAATACTTTTTGCTAGTATCAACATGATTGGCTGATTTAACTACATCAGTTTTACTAATGTGCATTGACAAATCTGATATGGGTATTGAACAATCTGGGGTAACAACACGTGTATAGATCAACGGTAAGGGTTATATATTATTGTAGAGCGATGGCTCAAAGAGCCTATTTTAAATTAAATAAACAGTTGATGTTGTATTGCTTTTTATTCGCAGTCACAAACTGGTTAATTCATAGAATCTAAGAATCTAAGAGTGAGGATCGGAGGCTATTATAAAAAGAAATAATCAGGTTAGAAGATCAATTGATTTGCAATAGTTGTTAAAGTTGGTGATACGAGTAACAGACGTCATTAAACTCTGGGTCTTTTCCCATTATATTTTATTATCTTTCGCCACAGGTTAACGTTCTGATTATTGAGCTTCTGGAATTTTGCCTACTCATAATTAACGAATCAAGGGAGTAAACCATTTGGTGTTAGTGGAACCAGCAAGGCTAATCTTCTCTACATAATAATTTCTCTGATCATCTTGTGACTGCCTTCGGCAAAAAATATCGAATCTATTTGTTTTGTACGAGCTAAGGTACATTTTTCGTTTGTTTGTACGACACCCCACACGAACATTTTTCCAGTTATAGATGACATCGCCTATTGTTCCGAGGATCGCTCCATTCTTGGACTTCGCTGGCCTATTGTTATCAGGCACGGGACTTATTACCTGCGATGATTTTAATAGTCACGAATTTTTGTGTAACCTCAGCAAAAAATATTTTGACATATTTGATAAACAACTTCTCTATAGATAAAATTTATTTTTCAAGTTATGCACTTCAATTTTGTGTAAGAAACTTTCCTGCTAGTTAAGTTTACGTAAATAAAAATTAAACTTGAAAATTGTTATTTTTTAGTATAAATTTTAAGATCTTTTTAATACTATTATGATATGATTATTGCCAGATATTATAATATGATTGTTGAAATCAAATTTAGTAATAAAGGAGAGTTTGAGAGAA